AAGCATGCTATAGTGGAGAAAACACACCACCAGACGCTTATCATTTCAACTCAATGTTTAGAAGTGCAGAAGTTAGAAAAACACCCCTATTGTGGAACATATTCCACATGCCAAGCCTCGGGGGAAATGACAGATAGATATGCTTCAGTCTGGTGCCACACGGCGTGACGTGAGTGAGTGAGTTTAGTTTTACGCCGCTTTTAGCAATATTCCAGCAATATCACGGCGGGGGACACCAGAAATGGGCTTACAACATTGTTCCCATGTGGGGAATCGAATCCAGGTCTTCGGCGTAACGAGCGAACGCTTAAACCACTAGTCTACCCCACCGCCCCTCAATTCAAAGTACATAGAAACACCATTTGGTACTTATGGCGATTGACCTTTCAAGTATGGAACAAACTTCCTCCTACTTTAAAGTCTGCACGCTCTGTACAGGCTTTCCGCCGCCACCTCAATACACATCTATTCTCCTCAGACATTAAACTGGCATTACGAGACTACTTGAAGCGTCTGTGAGCAGCCTAGCTAGTACTCGGCCCTATATAAATAGATTATTATTATTATGGCGACGTCTTCAGTAAAACAATGCAGTTTTAAACCGTTCCCGTAATGGCAGCCCATCAATAACGACACGGGTTCAAACTATCAATGCCTACATCCCGCACCATACCTGGCAACAGAGGTGTGTCTGCCAGAACAGTTTGACGACGTCACCCGCCCCAGACGCTCATTCCGACGGCGAATTCTGACGCCATCACGTCGACGTGTCCAGTGGAGTAGACTTGCGATGGGGATCATGTGAGTAGCAAAGAGTTCTCTTCACTTATAATTCACGTTTCATTCTTCACCGATCTGACGGCAGAACACGTGTCCACAGGGGAACTTTACATAAGGTCACGTGTCCTGGAAGGGGTTGTTTCGGGACGGCAGCAAGAACACCAGTGATGTTGATTGAGGAAACTTGAATGCTGTGAGGTCCCGAGATTTTGGATTTTCAAATAGCCGCTTTACCATTTTTTTTACCATATTCAGCCTCAGAAGAATTCCAGTCAACAAATCTGATCTTGTCCTTTGTGATAAGGCCAATGAATCTGTTTATATCCTTGCGTTTTCTGTCCCTTCTGACAGCAATGTGATTGGCAAGATTCAGGAAAAGCATGATAAATATGCGGACCTCGCCTTTAAAATATCTGGCCTGCGTCCCAAGTACACTATCGTCAGGCTCCCCATTTTTCTCGGTGCCCTTGGTTTGGTACCTCCTGATCTCTTGTCGCAGATCAGGAGAGTGACGGGGTTCTTCACCGGGAGCACAGCCCTTCTGACACTCTGGGTAATGCAGAAGGCTGCAGTGTTGGGGAGTCTTCATATTCTCCGGAAAGTTCTTGGTGGGTTCGACTAGGCAGTGTTTCCTGGGAGAAGTCCAATTCGCTGTCTGGTCTGCGTGTAGAGTGGGCTAGGGCCCTGAGCTGATGATGAGCCTTACCAGCCTGACTGTGCCAGGATCACCCGAACCCTCTCTGCTGCATTTTTATCTTAATCTGTAACACATAATTACCAACTGTATTGGTATCTCAAACTGTTTGTCGTTGAAAATAAATAAATATGCTGTTTTCGGCACAAATTCACACCATTTGAAAGACAGTTGGGGTCATTTCCCCCAAAACCAACCAATAAAGGCCTTCACTTAACCAAACTATTTGTATGAAAACAAATCACAGCCACAGACTTCTTGCTTTCAAACTGTTTCGGAAATGAGTGATGGTTGAATGGATACAATCAAATTTAACAAGTTCTTTCAATCTTTAATTACATAAAAAATACCTCGGTGTATGTTCTTTCATCCCTCATTTTTGTAAGATGTGTGTGGTATTCAACCAAAGACAAATCTAGATTGCCAGTGCCACGTGGCAATGTATACAGATAAGAGGAATGTGTCTATATAAATCTAATTGTAGAGCTACTTTGGAGGAATGATTCCAATGTACACATTTGTTTTTGTTTTTTTATAAACAAATCGACTTAAGTTGAATGTAAGCTATATCTTAGTCATATATGGACCTGGATCCCCAAACGAAGTTCAGTGCAACATACCTTGTATACTGTACCAAGACCAGTGTGCGAAATAGCCACGGGCCAGCGGGACCGTGGCTAGTAAAAATCCAATCGGGACAGTAAATCCCCAGTCACTGGCCCGACTGGCTAGTGAATTTTCATGGGGTCATTGGTTATTTATGGTAATTTACCTTTTTTGTAAACTTTTGCTTAGTTTCTACATTCAAATTTCGGGCTCGTGAAATATTTTGTGGGCTAGTAACTTTCCAGCATAGCTAGCCCGACTGGCTAGCAAAATTTGGAAACTATTTCGCACACTGACCAAGACAAATAAAATAGTTCCCTGATCACTAATTAAAACAAATATATCTATACCTATAAAACTGTCATTATGTTATATTGTGTTGCTGGCAGTTTAGTCCATTTGCGATATCAAAAAAATTTCATGTTTCACCACAATACACGTAACGACATAACACAGGCATGAGTAATTTCATACTGATTAATACAAAATAGAGTTTTTAAAATCAGAATTTTAAAGTGGACATACTAATTATTATTTATGTATATCTTTCATGGTATTCATGGAACATGTCAAAGAGCAAGACTACAATCAGCTTCGACATGTCTACCAAATAATAGGAGGAGTTTTTAAAGAAAATAATAGCAAAGACGATGTTGCTTCTAGTACATAATCAAGCCTTGAAATGCACACCAGGTATATATTTCAGAAACCTCTTTAAATGACAGATACGAAATCCCTTACTAATTTTATTGAAATTCATACTGTACTGTTTGTTAATGTTACCTATTAAACGACAAATATAGTCAAGAGGTGAATGACTTTCCAAAGATTTCATTTGTAGGTGAGTGAGTGAGTTTAGTTTTACGCCGCACTCAGCAATATTCCAGCCAAATGGCGGCGGTCTGTAAATAATTGAGTCAGGACCAGACAATCCAGTGATCAACAGCATGAGGATCGGTCTGCGCAATTGGGAACCGATGACATGTGTCAACCAAGTCAGCGAGTCTGACCACCCGATCGCGCTAGTCGCCTCGTACGACAAGCATGGGTTACTGAAGATCAATATTCTAACCTGGATCTTCACGGATTCATTTGTAGGTAAAGTATTGTCCAAATTGGGTATGTCTGAGAAATTCATTGTTAAAGTTATTTCAAACCGAAATCTACCTTCGTCTTGTCAGTTTGCTTCATCACATTTTAATATCTTATCTGAAAATCAGCAAGCTGCAACTGAAGGATAACGGACCGTTCATAATTTATTACTGTGGGGGTGGGGATGGGTGGGGGCACCCATTTTCTTCTGGGGATGTGGGTGTGTGTGTGTGTGTGTGTGTGTGTGTGTGCGTGCGTGGGTGATTGTATACACATGTACTAGAGGGGATCAGCAAGTTTGTACATTAAAATATTAAAAATTATGCTTGGAAATATGGGATGGAGGGAGGGGATAATTGATTTGGTACATGACATGCGGGGGGATCACTTACTTTGCTCTAACAGCTCTACCTGCAAAAAGGCACTGACAACTTAATTGCACGTGCAGAAAGTCACGTGATCAGTGGTAATACCGGGCACGTGGCATGTTCACGATCTTATGGTTGAATGGGAAAGTTGACAAGATGTCAGACATTTCTGATGACGTGTTTTGTGACGAAGACAATAAATTAAGTCGATGATTCAGGGCGTCAGCTGCTACTCGTCTGTTTCAAGGCAACGTTGAAGAACAGCTTATTTCTTTGCACACACGTAAGATGCAGAGTACGCAAAGTCAACCATCTAACCCACTCAGCCGTCGCAGGTTCCACATGGAGTGATATAGATGGCTGACCTTGTGTGCTGGCGATTAGGAGCCTAGATCTAGATCTGAGAGTGTTTGAATGCCAGATGGGACCCAACAAAGGTACTGGAATCTGTACTTTACTGAGAAAGTGTAGCCTAATCCTAAATATAACACGTATTTCTTTGTGGCATTGTGTATTCGCATTCAGATCAATTTGTGTGATTTTATACGGAGTTTTACTTTTTTTTATATATGACCCCAGTTTGGCGTGAGTTTTATCAGTTTTGTCCTGAAAACGTGACATGAGTAATATAGTGTGAGTCTCAAGCTAAATGCCTGAGAGCATAGGCGGATCCAGAGTGGGGGTGCAGGGGTGTGCTAACACCAAAGCCACCACCCCATCCCCCTTTGCCCTGAAAGTATATTAAATGACCATTGAAACTCGGGTGAAAATGAAGTGTGCACCCCTCGTTTTCTCAATAGTGTGCACACCCCCTTTCTCAAAAAGCTGTATCCGCCCCTGGAGAGTTGGAGAAGTTGAATGAAATCAGTTCTAATAATGTCGGACTGACTGACTGACTGAGTTTGGTTTTACGCCGCTTTTAGCAATATTCCAGCAATATCACAGCGGGGGACACCAGAAATGGGCTTCACTCATTGTACCCATGTGGGGATTCGAACCCGGGTCTTCGGCGTGACGAGCCAACGCTTTAACCACTAGACTACCCCACCGCCCCTAATAATATCGGATGTGTAATGTAACAGAAGCGTGTTATAATACCAGTGAGTGTTCGTTTAACAATAATAAATCTAAAATTTTAATTCAAAATTGTAAATTGTTGGTCTCTTTTGCATTTTATTTTTATCGTGACACCTTAGTTTTGTTCTTAAAATATGATGCAAGTAATCAGACCAGACCATTTCTTTTCTTTGGCATTAAAGCGATACTGTGCGGTCAGGTGATGCACAGAAGGCTGCAGTGTTTTGAAAACCTGGGGTTTTCAAGTGATAGTTGATTTTTTGTGAACCGTTGTTCTGTACACCTGGACAATGCGTGGGTATTCTAGTATTGTTACCGTAACGAATAATCAGTTATATAGTTCGTTCGTTATTGGGTAAGAAATATTTGACATCACAACTTACGAATTGGAGAAGCTGCATAACTGAATCCAGCTGGTTCAGAATACAACCGTACATGATCACCGACTGGCCGCGGCCGTTTTGAAGGTTTATGTCGGCGCCGGACGCCAATAGTAGCTTAATGACGCCAAATCTGCAGTCTTGGTCGTGGACATACATCACACATGCCATAAGAGGCGTCTCCATGCGCTCGTTGCGGGCGTTGACGTCATATCCGGCCTCCAAAAGCAGCTTCACCTGGGGGAAAGAAAATCATATAGCTTCGGAAGTGACTAGTCAGACACTGTTGCGTGGCAGTTAAAGGGACCTACGTAAATAGTTCGTCTTATCCGAAATTCGACACAGTCGTAAAATAAGTGAACAAGGACTACGAAGTGAACAAGCAGTTACTTCGAGAGAACCGTACGTTTGACACAATAATGCTGAAAGAGGAATAGAATAACTTTTCAAACGAGTGAGTAAGTTTAGTTTTACTCCGCACAATAATTCAGCTATATAGCGGCGGTCTGTAAATAATTGAGTCTAGACCAGACAGTCCAGTCATCAACAGTATGAACATTGATCTACGCAATTGGGAACTATGACATGTGTCAACCAAGTCAGCGAGCCTGACCACCCGATCCAGTTAGTGGCCTCTTACGACAAGCGTGGGTTACTGAAGATCAATTCTAACCCGGGTCTTCACGGGTCTGTTTTCAAGCGAATGGAAACATAATACTCAGGATAATGGAAGATGCACTGACACTGATAAACATCAAATGGACAGTAAATATACACTTGAACTCGAGCCCTTATCTTGTGCTTTAAATATTTAGAAACTATTCATCTAAACGATTGTTTAGAATCAACGTTTCAAATCACTTGAATCCATAGAAACCGTTTTGCATTTACATCACTTAAAATTACAAACACAAAGAGAATTTTACCACTGAAATTATTTAAATACATTTAATGGATAAATGTGGGGCTTTTTTAAAAAATTTAAATGTATGTATTTTTTAGACATTTCAGTATCCCTTGAAACAGTAATCCACGAAAACAGTTTTGGATTGACACACGTCAGCTGACTGAATAGAAACCCGTTATCATTGAAACTTTTTAATATATTTTATTTAAAGACAGTATCAGTTGTATGCCACGGTATTATTAAAATATTAAACTAAGCAGTGGATAGGTCTATATTAATGTCACGTCAAATATGAATATATCATTCAGTCATTCATTCATTGGTACAGGTAATTCTCTACCATGGAGGACGTGGAAACAACGTTCATACCCAGCAGTGATAGCGTGAATGATTGGAATGATGAAATTGATGATATTACACTTTCCCAAGTTGGTGAGGCGATGGAGTTGGATTTAAAGTTTGAGGACCTAACTTTATCCCAGTCTTTGAACCTTTACGAAGTGAGTGGGAGCGACCAAATTGACCAGGTGTTGGATTATTTGTTCCTTAATTCGACCCATTTTCTGAAGAAAGTAGGCCTGATGACATTACCAATCCTGTTGATCCACCCGCTCAAACTGAACGATTTGCGAAAATCGTATCAGAAGACGATATTTTGCAACGCATAGCTGATGCTGAAAGTAAGAACACTCGAAATAACACGAAGTGGGCGATGCGTGTTTTCGACCAAAGGCGAGGATCCCGACAAGATATTTGTGTGCCAGAGATCAAAGACTTTACATCCGCCGATGTAAACAACTATCTGTCCAGGTTTGTGTTGGAAGTGCGAAAGGTAGATGGTTCAGAATATCCACCCAAAACCCTCTATCTCTTAGGTGCCGGTTTGCTACGTCGCATGCGGGAAATGGGAAACATCGGCGTTAACTTTTTGGATTCGCAAAAACTAGCGTTTCCGACAAGTTCTGAGTGCCGAGATGCGAAGATTAACAGCAAAAGGTATCAGCACGACTGTTAAACAAGATGAACCCATCAGCGAAGAAACCGATAAAACTTTATGGGATAAGGAATTGCTTGGGGATAAAACCAGCCAAAGTCTCCAGAACACAGTGTTCTTCTACAACTGTAAACGTTTCGGACTCCGAGCCTGTGATGAACATAGAAGCCTACAAGCTATTCAAATTTTGGTCGGGACTGATCAGATGGGACCATATTATATGTTGTCAGGCATCGAAAACAAACTGGATCCACCTCTTGCACCTAAACCAATGAAAACGGAGCCCTCTGCCACTGTAAGTCACGGAGACGGCGGCGTCCACACCATCTATTGTGTATCAAAACTGCATCTTTAACTTTTAATTCCAGATTGAAAACAATCTAATTTCTTTGCTCTTTTTGTAGTTTATTACAATTGTTTTAAAATGATATTCATTTTTTCCTAAATAAATTTGTCAACATTGTACTTGTTTTTATGTTCTACAGTGTATCTCAACTTCCTTCTGGCGAAACCTGTTTACAATGACGTCATAGTTTCGGCACACGAGAGAATCAGTAGGGCGAAACCATGTAGTAACTAGCGATTACAACATGGGCAACATCAAAGAGCCCGCCGCTTATCTAAATCAAATCAACATTCAATCTAAATCTCGTCGAAAATTCCTTATACGATTCCGACTTGGTCTCAGTGGATCGGAAGTGAACAAAGGAAGACACCACGGCATCGAGAAATCAGCCCGACTTTGCAAAATATGTAATAATGGAGCCAAAAACGAGTACCATTTCATCTACGTCTGTCCCATCTATGGTCAACTAAGCTCTAAGTATTTACCTCCATATAACTTCATGTCTATATATAATTTTAAGAATTTGTTATCTTGCAATAACCCTACTACCCAATTTTAAAAACATTTTGCTCTGTTTATACACCATGCTTTAAAATTACGCCAAGCTTCCCATTGTTAACCATATTGTATGTTGTTGTATTGAAATATATGTAACTCGACAGTCTGTGGGCCTGTGGCCTTTTGAACAATAAAGCGTTGAATGTAATTGAATTGACAACAACCGCTGTATTCTCGAGCCCTGTTCCTGTTTTTGAGTGTCCACTTCAATGCAGTGGGCATACCACTGGACAGGTAAATTATATTCGTCATGTTTCGATTTATCGATGTCACGGGATCAGTTAAAGGTTTGGTGGAATGTCGAGTTTGAAGAAGATTAATAATGAATCAAGCTGGTTAACCTTCTGTTGTTATCGATTATCTATTTATACCCCAACGCCATTCAAACAGACAGGCGACCCACTACAGGTATGGGTGAGAATGTGAAAATTGCGTTTTCACTTCACGTGGAGAGCTGAGGTGAAATTGCGTTTTATATCGCGTGCAGGATTGCTACACATATACATATCGCACAAGCGTGGGTGCGTGTGCGTTTTCTGGGTTAATGCTGGTTATGTAGAGCTCGACCAGGCTGAGATACCAACCCGCAGTTTAAACATGGATACCCCGCTCAGATTAGGTATACAGACTCCAAACCGATCAATCCTTGTCTTATCCCTTTCATGCCAAGCGCTGACCCGTGAAGATCCGGGTTAGAATTGATCTTCAGTTACCCATGATTTTCGTAGGAGGCGACTAACGGGATCGGGTAGTCAGACTCGCTGACTTGGTTGACACATGCCAATTGCATAGATCGATGCTTATGATGTTGGTCACTGGATTGTCTGGTCCCGACTTCATTATATAAAAACCGATTATTTACAGACCGCCGCCATATAGCTGGAATATTGCTGAGTGTGGCGTAAAACTAAACTCACTCACTCGTGCCAAGTATCTTTTAACGCAATTTGGCATGGGGCCGCCAAAGATCGAACCCCCGCTCTCCGTGCAGACGTTTTACCCTCTTCACCCCGGAGGCGATCCCCATGAGTCCCTAGCACAGGGTTGAGGTGAAAATCTAATCATCCACTATCCCATTGTAGAGCTTACCAGGGACCCGTTGAAGAAAGCACCTTTAGCGCTATGACAATCACAATCCCATGTTAAGGTATGGGAGTTACGATGACATTAGGGCTAAGATAGCTTTGTGCAGCCGGACCAAAAATAATTGCGTTTTGTAAAAGTGTAGGTTTTGCCTTGATTTAAACCATTGATTTATTAACATATTGTCCTTGTTTTGTATCACTTCGGATATTTATTTCCTCAACAATTGTTTCAAATATACTAGTAAACAATTATTTGGGAATACCTGACTCATATTTTCCCAGTATACACATATTTTCAAATCCGATGGCAGTAGTGGAAATAACTTTAAAATTGCTAGTGTACTCCAGTACAGTGGCACATGTAAAATCACTTGCCCTGATAATTTTTCAACTATACCGGCCGTTTTCTTGTTGATTTTTTAAATAAACAACATAATTAATATTGGAAAGTCAACTGAACACCGGTACAGTGTGATATACAAATTTGCTTGCCCGACAGAAAAAAAACACTGGACTGGGGCGTCGGGCAATGGGTTATTTCCACCCCTGGAAGGCCCTATCAAGTCTTGACCAGGCAAATAGTGATCGATATTATGGACAGCGAACTGCAACCAGGGAGCTGAGAATATATATTCCATATTTTACTGGGTGACATTACAGTCTTCGCCGAACTACCGCGACGTTTAGTCTAAATCAATATCACCACGACGTGAAAATTACACAAGCAATGAAACATTTGCCTTTTGTGAAATATCATGTCTATTGTGTCTCGTGAAAAGGTTGACAATTGAACTCGTAGGTGGGAACGTATCAGGCTGCTGATGTTTGACAAGAACAACCAATACTCTCTTTACTACAATGTGGCGACACTGTGCTGCCCGGCAAGGTTTGTTTTGTGCCACGGACAAAATGCCATAGAAGTAAAAATCCACTTCAGACCTGGGCGTTTTGGGGGGAAAAGGCCATCTTGGGCAACACTACTGTGCTAATATCTGATAATTTCACACATTTGTACTAAAGGGTCGTTTGTTTCTCCAGACAAATCCTATGACTAGAAATAGATCAAGAACTGCACTGTACTACCGAAACAAATAGTAAGAATAAATAGTGATGGTTATTTCAAAGGTACTTTAGTTGTCTCACGTTACCTGTTTCTGATTGTAGAGACAGTTACATATTTTCCCTACCCCGTCCAAACGAGATGTTTACCAAATATGGACACGCTTACCTTATCACAGAATCTTACCTGCCGAAAGCTATTTCTCTTGACCACCTCGAACAAATCTGTCATATCCAGGAACTTGTTTATCCCGATCCAGATGAGTTAGAAGTCATTGCCTACTGCCAAGCACAGCAGACGACCCTCTGCACGCCTGCCAATGTAAACATATTGACAGTGTGGCCGGTGCAGTCTCGATCAGTACATGATTCCGTCCTCGGGAACAATGGTGTGACGTCACGTACACCCATAGAACAATCCCATTTGACGTCACTATTGTACTTCCGGTTCAACGCGTAATCCATGATCTGTGTGATTGACATCGTGTTCGTTCCTCAAAATGGAGACGCAGTTCCCTCATTAATCCGCGTTTATCGACAGTGTTGCAGGCCGTTGAATTATTTAGTGTCTTCTATACACGACACACAGTGAGTCCTAGTTTCTGCGGTTGTGCCCATTACAACCATTAATGACTACTTTTATTGACAGCCATTACTCGTTATATATCATCTCTGTTGATGTGTTAATGTGACATTTTGTTGGAATATATCACAGAAACTACTTACCTCGCCAAACAAAACGATGATACATGTGTCCCTTATTATAAAAATATGCTCTGAACGGTATATAGTTTTGCGTCGACAGGGGCGGTGGGGTAGCCTAGTGGTTAAAGTGTTTGCTCGTCACATGGAAGACCCAGGTTCGATTCCCCACATGGGTGCAATGTGTGAAGCCCATTTCTGGTGTCCCCGCCGTGATATTGCTGGAATATTGCTAAAAGCGGCGTAAAACCATGCTCACTCACTCACTGAGTTGACATAACAGAAAAAATAGCTCTTTACAGTGCTTTGACAGATAATGCTTGGTGACACATATTTAAAGATTTCCTTGTTGTACTGATGAATTCTCACCCTACAGTATACGTAATCTTTACGCATGGATTATCCCATTCTCCATTCTCTCCCCACAGGGGAACGTGGGAAGATATGACTTGAGTAACCTCTGTGGGAAGAGAATGCCCATTCTCAAGCAATGATGTTACTGTTCCTCACTCCGCCCTGGTACTGCGGAAGAATATATTGTAATACGTCTATAATTTGGTGATGTTATTTTTTCATATACATTTTTCGCCATGACAGAGGGGACCATTAAAGGAAATGTATGACATATGTTTGCATCATAAATGTTAATTTCTTTAATTAGTTGGCGATATGGGTTTAACGCCGCTTTAAGTATTCAGTGAGGTCACGGTGTCTAATCTTAATGGGAAAGAAAAACCAGAGGTGATGCAGGTCTTAGATATTGTATAATTGAGGTGATGTGAAATGGGGTTTAACGTCGCATTTCAGAATATTTCGCTCATATGACGACATGCATACGTGTGTATGTGTGGCTGCTTGTACTAGTCCAGACTTAAGCTGGCTTAATAGTGCTTGATCACTTCAGTCCGGCTTTGTCCCTAAATTTGAAAGTCGTATATGGTCGCCCTCACAGTCTCTTGAGTGGTTAGACCCGTGAAGATCCGGGGTAGAATAGGTCTTCAGCAACCCATACTTGCCACAAAAGGCGACTATGCTTGTCGTAAGAGGCGACTAACGGGATCGGGTGGTCAGGCTCGCTGACTTGGTTGACACATGTCCCAACTGCGCAGATCGATGCTCATGCTGTTGATCACTGGATTGTCTGGTCCAGACTCGATTATTTACAGACCGCCGCCATATAGCTTGAATATTGCTGCGTGTGGCGTAAAACTAAACTCACTCACTCACTCTTGAGTGGTTAGGATTCCACATTAACACTGTTTCCATGGTATTGTCTATTTGTCAGTATCTACTTGTGCATAAGCATAGATATCAGAGTGTCAGGTCACTGGCCTCAGTCGTTGAGCAGTTAGTATCAATGAAGATGGTGACAGGCCCAATTGCTCAACTTATGACTTGATCTCTCAGTATGGATACCATATCTGTGTCATCTTAAAACAGTAAAGTTCAGCTATCATCTCAAAGTGTTGATCAATTGAGATTTTGGTTGACACATATTAATGCTTTACGCAAGTACTGAGCTAAAGACCCAATCTATTGCAACGCGAGTTCTTTACACTGATGCGAATGGTTCTGGTTTTGGGGGCTATTCATTCGTCACCACTCGCCCCTTTCCGCAACCTCCAAGAAGACTGGTTCCCGTCTCGATGCTTGTCATGTGCAAACATACGACGACAAACCAATCAGAACACGCGTAATGAAGGCGGTGCTTTGATAAAAATAATCCCGAGTACTTTAACCGTTTATGGCATTATGCCATTGTTTAAAAAATCGCACGTGCGTTTCTTTATAAAACGGCTCTCATGGGTCCAATGGAGTGTATTTCTGACCATCTCGAGGGCTTCTTTTGGAGATTGTACGTGCGCTTTCTAACATGTTTAGGAAATATAATCATAAATCGCTACGAGTTTTAAAACAATAATATTATATCTACATAAGACTAATCCGCTTTAATCTTTAACATTGGGCTTATATCTCACATCTCTGGGGATAATTTAGTCTGACTTTTTGGGGGTCATTCATATATTTTTTAGCGTATTCATTTTATAATTCCACCAGAGTTTTGGCGGAAGGGTTACATGGATGTTCAGTTTGAGAAATATTTTGAAGTCATTTTTGAGTATCTGCTTTGCGATTTAATGTATTTGTATATCTTATAAAACAAATACCATTTGTGATTCTTAAGCCCTATTTATAAAAAAAACAAAACATTGGAAATATAAGGTGAACAGCTGGTAATAATTACTTTAGAATGTGTTTTAAACAAATATTTTACCCTTCTTGTAGTTCAAGTTGTTTTAGAGGTTTCATTATTTAAAATAACTAAATGAATAAAAACGAAAAAAATAAACAGCAATACAATATACAAGGGCTTCGGTGATGTGAAGTACCATTGGAATCAAACAGGAATAGAGTTATCGTTCTTGTTAATGTAGTTCTGATGAATTCGTAACTACTCGTGTCATTCCATGGCCTACAAGAAGACTCGTACCTGCATAGTCCGCAATTATTGGCAAGAATCGTGGCAAACCAATCAAATCGTGCGTAGTAAAACACATTTTGAAGCATGAAAACGGTGGCACTGTCGAACTTTGACTGACTGTGACTGATCCTGAGGTGCCCTAGAATGTAATGCTAAGGGCACCCTTATCGTGCTACAGTGGCACTCGGCATGTTTTTGGCTTCTTATTACTCCATAATCACTGTACCTAAGGTGATGCTGGTAACGCACGCTACCAGCATCCAACATGGCGGCAGGTAAGATCGCTTGGCGATTATTCCCCTCGAATTAGCAGTCTTCCACGTGTATACAATCAACATTATTCAGCACACTGATAAACTTTGATGGTGGAAATACTTTGAATGTACTGAATGGCTTATTAATGCCTATGTGTTGAAGAATAAGCATTTTTAAAATCGCGCGAGGATGTCGGTAACTCAAAGTCTGGATGTCGGTAACGTGCAATGAATGATGCTGGTAACGCATACTGTCTTGCTTTAGTCGGTAAACAAAAATTGTCGAGTTATGTTTAAACACAAAGGAGATACAAATATCAATTCGTATGTTTTACACAGATGTGTACTGCTGCTTCATGTACATTAACAGTATGGGCGACCTTTTCTGTGCGCCGGAGAGTTGTTGCTTGTCTTGAAGCAAGGTGTGTTTAATCATACTATATCTCTGGAGTTTCATCAAACTTGAACGGATTTAGATGTGTGTGCCCATTGTCTATTACGCTGAAAGCTTTTTCTCTGTCTCTCCCCAATTTGGACATTTGACATGTTGATTTCGTTGCAATGTAGACATTTAAAGTACATTTTACATCGTGCATTTATAGGGTAGGGCTGAATTTATAAGATAAATAGTCTGTCAACTTAACTTTAGGGACTTAACTTCAACACATAGGCATTAATAAGCCGATTCAGTGGAGTGAATGTATTTCCACCATCAAATTTTATCAGTGTGCTAAATAATGTTGATTGTATACATGTGGAAGGCTGCTAATTCGAGGGGAATAATCGCCAAGCGATCTTACCTGCCGCCATGTTGGCTACCAGCATCACCTTAGGTACAGTGGTAACTGTGAGATTATTCCCCAAGTGAAGGATGTGATGTACCTTTTCAGGTCTAACCGAGCCTATGTTGCATCTTGTTATGAAGATGGGTTGGAGAGTTTGCCAGCTGACGAGTTGTCGTTTCACTGTAGAGCGGATTCTACGACACGGAAATACCTTTATGGTATTGCAGCATGGAAACGGTAGACTGTTTAATGTGATACGTCTGATCCATAGGCTATTACACCATTACATTGCGCAATATATGTTGTCGCTGTTGTTTAGAGATGTGAATCATCCGCCCCAGTGCAAGCTGCGTTTTGCTGCATATTGTATGCTCATGGAATTGTAGGTCTACCTTGTCCTACTGAGAATAGTTTGGTAAGAAACGTGTTAGAGGCGGCTAAAAGAAAATTGCCAGGGCGTGTTTCTAAAAAAGAACCAATTACTATTGATTTGTCAGAAAAATTGTGTGACTCTTGTTTTGTTTCACCAACTCTTAGTGGTATAAGAGTGATTTGTATTGTATGTGCCTTAATGCAGGCTTCCTGAGATCAGCTGAATTTTGGCATGTTGCAAGACAAGATGTTTTTTATGATACTCACATCATGATTTTCATTGAACAGTCCAAGACTGACGTTTATAGGGACGGTTCGAGGTTGGTGATTAGTAGGACTAATTCCAAGTTATGTGTCTGGAGAAGTATCTGGAAGCAGCTAATATTGTTTCTGAATCTTCTAAAAATATTTTCAGGAGTTTAACAGACCAATTCTGGCTATACACTGAGGGGCAAAAGAAACGATACCTTATTATTGAGGCTAATTAATAAAAGATGACAAAAGATACACAGAAAATCAATGTTGTAATCAGAAGAAAAATAGGTGAGGAGCATGGAAAATCAAATTCATTAATCGAGGCCAATAATTGTTTGAGATTATTGAAAAAAACCCCATAATATTCATATGTCCTGTATTCGATCACTCCGGTAAGATGAGATACGTCAATGTCTGTGACACAGAGACACTCCTGCGAGTCAATATCGAGTGTGGTCACCACCGGCATCGATGCAGGCTCTTACACGACGTCGAACAGATGAGGTCAGTCGTCTGATCAC